TGAAAAAAACTAAACAAATCTAGATTCAATCATCTAGTTTCCTAAACTTAAAAAGCTTTGACAGCAGCTTCATTGTGGGACTCTTTAGGACCTCTTCAGCTTCCACTGAGCGTCCAGGTTTTTGTCCTCATGCTCCTTTAGACAGAGATACTGTTTACCGTTATTGAAATATGTCAACACGAGCTAAACAAACAGGTTTGCATCCAATTTGAAACTTATTTACAAGGTTGTTGATTCATTTTCTCCTCTCTCTACACACTGTGTTCCAGTCAATATAACCTTTGTTTTTAACTCATTAGCTGCCAGCCATTTTTCAGAACAGAGTCCCATACTGCCAGCATTTTGACTGATTTTTCAAGAGCCACAGAATAGTTTGTGCTATGACTATGTAAACACCGAACACACCAAAAGAAAGAGTAGACTCTCTTCTTTCATCAGGAAAAAAAAATTGTTTCAACCTTATTCCGTTCTTCCTCGACTTGCGTCTCACCGGCGCCATTTCTCGCATAGCGAACCATTACGTTTTTCTTATTTGCCTACAGTCTATGCTCATCTCCCATCAAAAGTCAATTTGTTACTACATACTCTGTCTAGAAGCCTGATATTTATGGACAAACATAAAAAACGTATATAGATGTCTTTGGCAGTCAACGGTTGTATTTGAATTGACGTCTATAGACGTCTTTGGCAGCCAATGAGTTAATGCATTTGAAAACCTAAATAAAACAGCAGGGAACCACAAAGGTGAGGATCAGGCTGCCCCTCTGGTTCCTGCCCCCCCGGAGCCCCTCTCTTACCCGCTTTGCTGCAGTCCACTGAGAAGCTGCCCCTCTGTCCCACGTAGGCCCTGCTGAGGCCCGGCCCGCGGCAGGTCACCATGCTGGCGTCTGAGGAGTCGGCTCTGGGCGGGGGGGCGCCGCCCGAGGCCTTAACCGCCGGGTCCAGCGTCAGGGTGGACGTCTCGCTGGCGTTGGTCACGCTGACCAGTCGGTTACCTGGGGGGGGAAGCAGTCTGTGTGAGGTGGACACACCTGGGTCACCTGTGACTAGTGATGGGCGAGATGAAGCTTCATAAAGCATTTAACTCATTGACTGCCAGCCATTTTCAGAACAGAGTCCCATACTGCCAGAGTTTTTTGAGCATTTTGACTGATTTTTCAAGAGCCACAGAATAGTTTGTGCTATGACTATGTAAACACCGAACACACCAAAAGAAAGAGTAGACTCTTCTTTCATCAGGAAAATTTTTTTATTTCTACCTTATTCCGTTCTTCCTGGACTTGCGTCTCACCGGCGACATGTTCTCTCTCAGCGAACCGTTACCTTTTTCTTATTTGCCTACAGTCTATGCTCATCTCCCATCAAAAGTGGCACTGCCACCTAGAGGGTCAATTTGTTACTACATACTCTGTCTGGAAGCCTGATATTTACGGACAAGCTTTAGCAGATCGTCCCCCAAGCCACTCGCGTTGAAAAACATAAAAGACATCTATAGACGTCTTTGGCAGCCAATGAGTTAAGCTTCATTTGCTCTATTGTGCCATCAAGTGGACAATACATGTAAACCATACAGTGTGGATATAATGAGACTCTGGCTTTGGTGTCTGAAGCTTTGAATGAATTAATCAATGATGTTTGTGATGACCCAGCCTGGGATATGACCCATTGGCTACTGGGATAGGCTCCAGCCCCCCCCCCCACAACCCCATTAGGGGATAAGTAGTTACCATAATGGACGGATTGATGCTTGTACATGAATTATAAAATTTTATATGGCGTCTGTCTTTATGATACAATGCAGGGAAGCTTGAACGGATCGTTAACAAACTTGTAATTAAGTCACAAGTCCACAAAATGCAAGTAGGGGGGATTCATTGCATTTTACTGGCCCTTATATTTCAAATATCAAATCCCTAATGCTAGCCTACAAAGTGCTTAAGGGTACGGCTCCCATCTACTCGAATCCTCTTGCAAAGGCTACTCGATCACTCCGGTCATCAGTGGATTGTGGTCTAGCAGAGCCTTCACCACGCTTAAGACAATCCAGACTGTTTGCATGTGTCGTTCCAAGATGGTGGAACCACCTACCAAGCTACAAGAACAGCAGCGTCCCTGTCCGTCTAAAAGAAACTCTTGAAGACCCCCCTCTTCAAAGAGCATCTCCTATCCTAACCCTAACCCGTACCTCTATCCCCCCATAACTCCTTCTGTAGTCCCTCTACCTCTATCTCTATCTCACCACTGACTGATCAGTGTTTCTCCTCTGTATAGCTTATTGTCATAGTGATGAGAAATGTAAGATTGTGTCTACTCTGTATGTCGCTTTGGATAAAAGCGTCTGCCAAATGCATAAACATAAATAGACTGTCAAACCGCGAACCACTTCCTGAATCAGTCGAATGGTACGGCCGGTTTTCGAGGCTTCACCACATACGTCATGGACTAAAGCCTGGATTTGGAGGGACTCTCTACCTGTGACTCTGGCCTTGAAGGGGCTGCCGGTGATGTGGCTGGGCCCCCCGTATTTGATGCTGATCAGGTAGCTGCCGGGCGCCATGGGGGTGTAGTGCACCCTGTAGCCCTCGGGGACCTCCTGGCAGTCCATCTTCACCTTCGACGGGCCCTCGATGGTCACGGCCAGAGCCCCAGGGCCCGCCTTGGTGTTGTTTATGACGAACTCCGACTGGGCGCCTGAAGGATTAGCAGCGGTCAGTTTGGGACTTTTAGTCTTCCCGTTTGTGCCGGTTAGTCTTTTAGACAAACATCAGGGAAGGTCCAACTTTTTGCACATTTAAAAAAGCACCTTAAACTGTTTCTTAAAAGTTCCCAGGCATGCACTCACTAATCTTATTTTTCTAATGTCATTGTCTGAACGTGTGTCTCTGTTTAAACTGATATTGTATTACAGTGGGGTAAATAAGTATTTGACCCCTTGCTGATTTTGCAGGTTTGCCCACTTACAAAGAATGCAACAATCTATAACTTTAATCATACGTACATTCTAACAGTGAAAGACAGAATCCCAAAGAAAATTCCAGAAAATCACATCATATGAATTTATAAAAATTGATAACCATCTGATGAGGAAAAATAAGCATTCTTTGTAAGTGGGCAAACCTGCAAAAGCAGCAAGGGGTCAAATACTTATTTCCCCCACTGTATGTGATTTTGTGTTGTTTTTTCTTCCTGCCTCAGGACGACAGATGCAAATTAGCAACTATGCTAGAATCTGGCTCATTTACAATCTGTACTGAAATGTAAGATTGTTTATTAATGAGCACTGTCCTGATTAAATAAATAAATAAATAAAAATAGACCCAAACCCGACCAGCTGGACGGACTCAGCTGGGTTAGGCTTTTTTTTAAATGGACGGTTAAAGCTAAGCTGACCCACCGGTGGAGCCCCTCTCCAGTCCGGCTCCGTAGGCTGAAACCAGAGACGGCTCCCCGCTCTGCCCCGCCTCTCCCACGCGGACCTGGAAAGGACTTCCGGGGATGTGGGCGCCGTTGAATTTCACGTCGATGGTGTGGACGCCGTTCTCCCGGGGGATGAAGCGGATGGCGTACTTGTCTGGGAAAGAGCACAAAGGGACCCATTTGGCAAATGCTCAGCCGACCAGAGGTGGGGTCTTTTCTGGAAATCTTCCATTGAAAACAAAAATACACACACACACCTCTTTCAATCTCCGAGACGACGCACTTCTCCAGAGCTCCAGAAGGGCTGCGCACCTGGGCCTCCATCTTGCCCTGAGCTCCGTTCAGACGCACCGCAAAGGACGCCGGGTGGTTCGCCTTAAGGCCGGACTCCTGCGAGCCCAGACGGAGAGGGTCATACGACAAAGGGACCCAACCTCATAAAGCCCAGCGACCGACCGGGGCCGAAGATTCAGCTTCACTTTTAAACCAGAAACCAGATTAATAGTCTAATCCAGGGGTGTCCAACTCCGGTCCTCGAGGGGCCACTGTCCTGCAGGTTTTAGGAGTCTCCCTGCTTCAGTACACCTGATTCTGATGAAGTGGATCAGTTCAAAGGCTCTGCACAAGGCTGATAATCGCACACACATGAGACTGGGAGACTTCTGAAACCTGCAGGATAGTGGAACCTCGAGGACCGACTTTGGACACCCCTGGTCTAATCAATCAAACACAAAAAACACCCAAATCAGAGCCAATTCGTCCACATCCATGTGCAAACCCAACCCAATCACATCTCGGCTTCTTGACTGCGTCCTCAGGGAGTCGCAGAGCTCCTGAGAGGTGGAAGCTACTCTGACGGACACTTTTTGGAAGACAAACGAGCCTCGATGACCGTTGTGTCTCCTGACTTTATATACATTTAACTGCTCTGATCCAGACCAGCAGGTCGAGCTGTAAAGCTGTAAGAACGTGTTAGGATTTGGCTAAAAATACTTACTTTAGCATAGTATGTTATGACATGACCTATGTAGATTACTGACCGTCTTATTTTCTTTTATAAGTCTCTGGCTGTAACCACAGATTCTCTTTCGTCTCTTTTATTCCTCTGTTGCATTAGATACACGTCTTTAGGTCAACAAACGCACACCATTTGGTACCACATTCCAATGTCATCTGCATGAATTAGGTTAGGACCTGGCCTGTTCATGCCCAGAGGTAACTGGCCAATAGGACTTGGTTGTGTCCAGTCCTGAGACCCAGAGAGAGGTTTTTGTCTGTTAGAGCCCAGCGCTGAAATACTTTACCTGTGACCCAATAAATGTCAATTTTTTACTCTTGATCTACTCTGGTTTATTCTCAGGTTTCCAACTAAAGAATCGGGTTAACAAACGGGAGGTAAAAGGCAGCCTGAAAACCTTGTATTTCCCCCTTTACACTTTCTACCTATTGGTCACATTACAAAGAAGGTCTGAAAGTAAAACGTTCAAGTTTGCCTCTGATCAGAAACCCTTCAGGGCTGATTGGTCCTCTTACCTGAGCTCCTCCAGACAGCTCCAGCAGGCAGACGCAGACACAATCCCTCACACTGTCCTATAGCTCCACCACTTTCAGAACAAAGCCCAAAACCGGACTATTTTAGGGTTTAAAAACTACATTTTGGGATGTGGATGGAGCATGAACAAGAGAGTGTGTAAGTTAGGAATAGGGGCGCCCTCTAGTGGCCGACATCTGCCCGCCTGCTGCAGCTGTGCGGGTGGAGAGCTGGCCGTGTCCGAGGTGGAGCTGTTAAAAGCCTTTAAATGAAACACAAGAGAAACACCCGCAGTTCCACACCGACCAAAAGGAGGGGCGACCGAACCAGGCAAACAGAATCTGCAGAATCACCAAGAGGCCCAAATCCCCATCCCCGTGTTTTAGGTGCCTGCTTCTAGTGACTGTTCTGTCAAATAAATACAAAATATGAAGGCTGTTTCTTATAATGCATGGTTTAATTTTAATCATTGTTCACTATATAATAAAAAATAAATAAAATAAAATAAAAATAAAAGGTTTCTTTATTGATCCCAGTACCCGTTTCTAAAATATGTAATAAAAATATTTAGAAAAAACTTTGAAAAACTTAAATTTAACATACTGTGCGCTGATAGTCTGCAGGGTTTTGATCTTTAGCCAACGCTGGGAAATTAAGCATAACATTTCGGTTTAGTGAGATCTACAGAGGAGGAGGGATGGTTTTTAGCTCTGGCTTCAAACAAAACCACGAGTTTGCCTGGCTGTGGTCACGTCCATGGGGCCAGTTGCATAAAGAAAAATCACGAAACCGAGTAACTGAGCAGCGGCTCGGCTTTTAAACGGGAGCAAATTCCCTCTTTGCTCACAAATTCGTTTATTTTGTGTGTTTTTTTCTTTATGCAACTGCCCCCGGGGCCTTTGGAGCTGCTCCTGGGTGTGGAGGTGTCTCCCCGTGTCTCACCTGAAGGCCGGCAACAGTGAGGCGGCGGGCGTCGTCGGCGGGGGCAACCACGGGCACCAGGTAGGGGCTGTCGGGGATGTGCTGCTCGTTGAACTTCACCGAGACCTCGTAGTCGCCTGTGGAGGGGGGAATAGAGCGTCACCGGGGGCAACGGGACCACTGGCTTACCGCAGTGTTTTTCAACCTTTTTTGAGCCAAAGTACATTTTTTCATTGAAAAAAAAAAAAAAAATCCAGGGCACACCACCAACCAAAAATGTCAAACAAATCTGTAGCAGCCTATAGTAACACTATAGTTATTCTTATCTTAAGTGTCTTGAATAGGAATAAAATAAACACAAAAATGTATTTTTAACATATTTTATATTTCTTCTTTCAAATTGTACTTAACATGTCCACAGCAATATACAAAATTATATACAAAACCTAGTCATAAGGAATTATTACATGATTACGCCACCAGTCACTAGAACAGCACAGACACTCAAAAATGGCATATTATTTGCAGATAATTAATTCCTTATCAAAAAATCTTTTTAGACCAATTAGGTGAAATACGATGATTTTCTACGGCACACCTGACCATCACTCACGGCACACTAGTCATCCTATTCAATCCTATTTAACCTAATTGGTCTAAAAAGATTTTTTGATAAGGAATTAATTACCTGCAAATCATTTTTGAGTGTCTGTGCTGTACTAGTGCCTGGTGGCGTAATCAGGTAATAATTCCTTATGACTAGATTTTGTATATAATTTTGTATTTTGAAGTGGACATGTTAAGTGCAATTTGAAAGAAAAAGAAATTTAAAATATGATAAAAATACATTTTTGTGTTTGATTCCTATTCAAGACACTTAAGATAAGATAAGAATAACTATAGTGTTACTATAGGCGGCTACAGATTTGTTTGACACTTTTGGTTGGTGGTGTGCCTCGTGATTTTTTCAATGAAAAAATGTACCTTGGCTCAAAAAAGGTTGAAAAACAATGCACAGTGGTTGAAAAACTCTGTCCTACCGGGCTCCTGGGCGATGTAGGAGACTCCGCAGGAGCCGTCCTTGCGGTCGTCGAAGGCGATCTCTGCGCGGCTCGGTCCCTCCACCGCGATGGACAGGCCGCCCGCGCCCGCCTCCCGCGTCCAGATGCTGAACTCAGCTGGGGGAGGAAGGGCGGAGCACAAAAACAGAGCAGTGAAGACCCGGACCCTTAAACACCACAAGTTCTACCTAGAAATCAGAGTTTTTTTTTGTTGGATTGATCATACAGTAGAACCTCTACTTACAATTATCTAAACATACAAATTTTCCAACATGCGAAGTGAAATTTGATCAAATTTTCGATTCGATACCCAAAGTAAGTTTCAGGTAAACAGGTTTTTTATGACAGTCATAGAAAAAATAATATATATATATAAAAATGTATAAAAATAAATGAGCTAAGTTAGTTTAAAGTTCATATAGTGAAAGTTAGAGTAAGTTAGGGTACGTCCTGTATCTCAGTCTCCACCTCTATTCTCCAATAATAATAATAAAAAAACCCTTTTTATTGATTTTTTTATAATTCATTTATTTTTACATCTTACCTCTTATATAATGAATTTGTTTTATTGGGATGTGTAATTATCTGCAGTATTTATCAAGGAGTTATCGTAGGTTTTTGGGCTGTGGAACGAATGATAGGAATTACAGTGTATTCTGATGGGAATATTTAAACCAACATACGAATATTTGAACATACGAAGTAGGTCCTGGTACTAATTAAACTCGTATGTAGAGTTTCTACTATAATAATTTGTATAGACTATTAGACTCTCTTCTCGTAATTGATCCTAATCTTAGAGGATGCAT